ATCAGCATTTCTCTATTGACCAGTCATAATTTTGCCCAAGTCGTGTCCGGTTACTCATTGGGGCAGGACTGTTGTGTGTTGGGTATTGAATGCAACATCAGGTGACATTCTGAGGAGGTGCAGGTAGTCCTCGACTTATGACCACAAGCAAGCCCAACATTTCTGTTGCTAAGTGAGCCATTTGTTGAGTTTTGCCCCCGTTTTTACGACCTTCCTTGCCATGGTGGTTAAGTGAATTGCTGCAGCTTGTACGTTTGTCACATGGTCGTTGAGTGAATCCCATTGACTCTGCTTGTTGGAAGGTTGCAAAAGGGGAATCAGGTGACCCCGGGGATGCTAAAACCGTCATAAGTATGAACCAAACCTCTGAATTTTGATGATGTGATCATTGGACGAGACCAAGGTCATAAGGGTGAAAAACGGTCATAAGTCCCTTTTTTGGGTGCCGTTGTAATGGTGGATGGTCGATCAATGAACAGTTGTAAGTCAAGGATTACTTGTGGTTTGGTTTTTTTGGGGGGGTCCCCACAAGAATTTTGGAAGGAAATCACCAGATCGACCAGAATTCATGCAAAAGGACCACAAGTTGCCTATTAGGAGGACAGCGAATAAACAGATTCTCAGATTTTGTGAACCAACATCTGCTTGCCTTTTTGTCTCTCACACTCACACACCGGTGCTCCCTTCGCACACCTTCAGCTAGGTGTGTGCAAAACGTAGCACTTGGGTCTAGTTTCTGGGAAATGAGGGATGGTGCTTGAATACACCGATCCAGCTATTATTCCAGGGTGGTCCTGAAATTTAAGTTGGATTTTCCAGAACAGGAAGTGGTTTGTGGTTTAGTGTTGAATGAAAGTCACATCATCCCTGGGAGCGGTGGATTGACATTCCTTCTCTGGAGCGTGCTTGCACTTGCTGAAGCTCGATGCTCAACCTCGAAGGAAGCCATTTATTTATTTATTTATTTATTTATTTGTTTGTTTGTTTGTTTATTTATCCATTTATATTTATTTGTATCCCACCTTTTATTATTTTTACAAATAACTCAAGGCAGCAAAGATATCCTTCCTCCTCCTATTTTCTGCACCAAAACAATCCTGTGAGGGGGCTTGGACTTTAGAGAGATAGATCGGTTCAAAATCCACCCAGCTGGCTTTCATGGCTAATGTAGAACTAGAACTCCCAGTCTCCTGGTCATTGGCCCAAAGTCAACCAGCTGGCTTTCATAGCTAAGGCGGGACTAGAACTCCCAGTCTCCTGGTCATTGGCCCAAAGTCGCCCAGCTGGCTTTCATGGCTAAGGCGGGGACTAGAACTCCCAGTCTCCTGGTGATTGGCTCAAAGCCGCCTAGCTGGCTTTCATAGCTAAGGCGGGGACTAGAACTCCCAGTCTCCTGGTCATTGGCCCAAAGTCGCCCAGCTGGCTTTCATAGCTAAGGGGGGACTAGAACTCCCAGTCTCCTGGTGATTGGCCCAAAGTCACCCAGCTGGCTTTCATAGCTAAGGCGGGACTAGAACTCCCAGTCTCCTGGTGATTGGCCCAAAGTCGCCCAGCTGGCTTTCATGGCTAAGGCGGGACTAGAACTCACCGTCTCCTGGTGATTGGCTCAAAGTCGCCCAGCTGGCTTTCATAGCTAAGGCGGGGACTAGAACTCCCAGTTTCCTGGTGATTGGCCCAAAGTCGC